GAAAAGATAATATTATGCCTAAATATGCGTATTATCTTTTTTATCGAAAAGTTTAAGCCTTTTATTTTCTAAGATAAAAAATAATTATAAATAAAATTTTTTAAAATCAATTTATATTACATTAGTATAATTCTTTAGTCACAATAAACTTTTTAAACTGTACTAAGATTTTATATGAAAATAGATATTATAGTGTATGTTTAAGTAAAACTTGAATTGTTTAAAATTTTAATATGCTTGATAATATANGAAAAGTTTAAGCCTTTTATTTTCTAAGATAAAAAATAATTGTAAATAAAATTTTTTAAAATCAATTTATATTACATTAGTATAATTCTTTAGTCACAATAAACTTTTTAAACTGTACTAATATTTTATATGAAAATAGATATTACAGTGTATGTTTAAGTAAAACTTGAATTGTTTAAAATTTTAATATGCTTGATAATATACATTATAGAGCAATATATTAAATCTTATCCCAATTCACCTAACCAATTCCTAATTATAGTGAAGTTCCATATAATTAGTATATTGATAAATACTTTTATTTTATTCAAGAAATTATAAGTGGAATCCTTATAAAATAAATTTCAAGAAATATGAGTCTGTTTGGTTTGAGTTTTAAAAAATAGTATCCGAAAATAGTTTTTGAGAAGAGTTTTAAGAAAGTGATTTTGACATTTTTGAGATAAAAAACTTGTTTGGTTAGATGATTTCAAAAATAATTTTACAATACNTTATAATATATATATTAATTGTATATATACCAATATTGTTATATATAAAGTATATATATATATACTCATATCTGAACATCTAAAATTATTCTCTTTGTTTCCAAAANTATAAAAAATTTATTTTTATATTGACAATTTTATAATATATATATAAATTGTATATATACCAATATTGTTATATATAAAGTATATATATATATACTCATATCTGAACATCTAAAATTATTCTCTTTGTTTCCAAAATTTTTAAAGAAAATTCTGAAAACAAACTACACTTGTTTTCTGTTTCTTTGACTCAAATCTCATTTTTTCCCAAAATTTAGNCTGAAAACAAACTACACTTGTTTTCTGTATTTTTGACTCAAATCTCATTTTTTCCCAAAATTTAGAAAACAAAAATGTTAAATAAACAGGTTTTGAGTGTTTTTAAAATTTTGAAAACAAAAAACTATTTTGCAGAAGCTAACCAAACACGCCGATAACTAAAAAAAAGGAACTTTAACTTTAAATTTTTTATCTTTTTTCTTATANAACAAAAATGTTAAATAAACAGGTTTTGAGTGTTTTTAAAATTTTGAAAAGAAAAAACTGTTTTGCAGAAGCTAACCAAACACGTTGATAACTAAAAAAAAGGAACTTTAACTTTAAATTTTTTCTCTTTTTTCTTATAGTTAGAACAAAAAAAATTTGGGAACATACAAAATTTTCATAATCCTACAATAGAATACGAGCAATTAAAAATTAAGTTTATTAAATTTGAAATGATATTTAATTCAGATATAAATATAACTAATGTGTTGTATTCATGTGCAACACACCCGCTGTATTGCTAGTATGATAAAATTTTGATACAAGTATCAAAACTAGAGACTGTTATCAATGACACGTGATTTTCTTCGAAAGTTATATATGTTTACTTGTTTTTATATNATTTGAAATGATATTTAATTCAGATATAAATATAACTAACGTGTTGTATTCATGTGCAACACACCCGCTGTATTGCTAGTATGATAAAATTTTGATACAAGTTTCAAAACTAGAGACCGTTATCAATGACACGTGATTTTCTTCGAAAGTTATATATGTTTACTTGTTTTTATATATTTTTAAACATTGTTTAGTCTTGACAAATATTATGTACTAGACTAGTTGTACTACCCACTCCGATTACATTTTTCAGATTCAAGTATTGAGATTGATATCGAATTAGGTAAGGATGGTTGGTGAGTGAGACTAGGGATCGGTGAGTGAGTGAGTGAGACTATGAAGCGAATCAGAATGTGAATCTGAATATGAAGGCTGGANGTAACATTTTTCAGATTCAAGTATTGAGATTGATATCGAATTAGGTGAGGATGGTTGGTGAGTGAGACTAGGGATCGGTGAGTATGTGAGTGAGTGAGACTATGAAGCGAATCAGAATGTGAATCTGAATATGAAGGCTGGAGAATTACTTATTTAGTTTATCTTATTTTCTTTTTGATGATGAAAAAATTTTTTGAATTTTTTTTAATTAGTTAGATGGGAGTTATTTATCCTTGTTTCGAGGTTTGGATTTAAACTTAATTTACAGAACGATGTTTTGGGTTTTATTTAGGCAAATGGTGGTGAATTTTGATTTTTTTTTTNGTAAATTTAATTTATAGAACGATGTTTTGGGTTTTATTTAGGCAAATGGTGGTGAATTTTGATTTTTTTTTTTTGAGTTAATGGATTATTGTATTTAGAATTTTCCTGCAAGTTAATTCTGAATTCAATAATACGACGTGACAATTTTGATATAAGAATTATTGTAATTGAATTTTTCTTTTTTTTTTTGGGTCAATATTGTGAAGTTTATAAAGAAAAGACAAGTAAAGTTCAAACCTACTACGACTTATCAATCTAACGACAGGCTGTAAAACTATTAGCCCACCACTGACTCCGATTGTAATTAAATTCAAAGGCCAAGGTCCATATACTTAATAATGTAAATTATAATTNTTTTTTTTTTTTGGGTCAATATTGTGAAGTTTATAAAGAAAAGACAAGTAAAGTTCAAACCTACTACGACTTATCAATAAAACGACAGGCTGTAAAACTATTAGCCCACCACTGACTCCGATTGTAATTAAATTCAAAGGCCAAGGTCCATATACTTAATAATGTAAATTATAATTTTACCCTTTTAAAAACCGTATGCATTGATTCTATTTTTGTACTTATTTATTTATTTTTTGTTCCCCAACTTGCAGGCAGGGGCGGACCCAAGATTTTGGTTTAGTGGGGCACAACTTAAAATTTTTAAATTTAAACTATAAATGCAACATTATTTTCATCAAAATGTATATTCTTAATAAACCTTTTATTTTTTATGTATAGTTCCATAAAAAAGAACGTCATTTAGATTTGTAACTCATATATATGAGCAATANACAACTTAAAATTATTAAATTTAAACTATAAATGCAACATTATTTTCATCAAAATGTATATTCTTAATAAACCTTTTATTTTTTATGTATAGTTCCATAAAAAAGAACGTCATTTAGATTTGTAACTCATATATATGAGCAATATACCAATAAAAAAAAAACCACAAAAAAAATTTTACATGAAAAGATCATCTTGTTCTTGACTAGCAGTCGATTGTTACAATGTTGATTTTCTTTTAAGAAATTTATCAATAACTGATTAAAANTAAAAAAAAAACCACAAAAAAAATTTTACATGAAAAGATCATCTTGTTCTTGACTAGCAGTCGATTGTTACAATGTTGATTTTCTTTTAAGAAATTTATCAATAACTGATTAAAAAAATGAATTTATCTAATTAGATTCAAATTTAATAGTTCATTATTAAGTTTGTAATGAATGACATAATGTACTACACATAATCAAAATATAATTCATAAATCCACAATACTTGTGTATATTTATTGCTGAAATTTCAAATCTAATTCTCTTGTATTTGGGTCTTGTTGTACTGAATTTTTTTAATTAAAACAGATAAGTTTTTGGAGTGGAATTTGTGTGATTCACTGCNATATTTATTGCTGAAATTTTAAATCTAATTCTCTTGTATTTGGGTCTTGTTGTACTGAATTTTTTTAATTAAAACAGATAAGTTTTTGGAGTGGAATTTGTGTGATTCACTGCAGTAGAATTTTTGTTCTGTTCATATTTTATTTTGTGTTAAAATTAAAGTGATACACTACAAAACTATGTTTAATCAAAAGAAGGAAAGAAGCGACGATTGGTAAAGAAAGACAGGGTTCGTAGAGACTGAAATTTGAATAAAAAAGAAGTCCAGACTAAAAAGGGCGTGAAATGAGTGACCTATAAAAATTATGTTTAATGGTTTGAAAATTACACTAACTTCATCTATATTTTATGAAAATTTTAGTGGGGCAAGATTCAAAATTTTTAAAAATTCACCTAAATCAAAATTTTTTTTAAAATTTTAGTGGGCGCAGCTGCCCACTGCCCCCAGCCCCCGTGCTAAATCCGCCTCTGCCCACTTGGTCAAAGGCTATAAAAGCATTAGCCGTACATACCAAGGGCAAAATGCCCCAGAGATTACGGTTACAACGAGGCGTGGGACCCAACACTTTTCTTTGGTCAACCTTTGAATTAAATGCGAACAATTTTCTCCACTTTAATATTTTTTTTTTGTTTTATTTATCAGCATAGTAAAAGTGCTTTACCTGTTGGTCAATTTTCATCAAAGCAAAGTCTCCCCTCATAATTAATGAAAACCTAATACTTCTACCATTAAAAAGAAGGGATAAAAAAAAAGTTTTTTTGACATAAATATTAAATATTCACATTATAAATACAATTATATTTGTTTTGTACGTTAGAAAAAAAATTTTAAATTTAAATTCTGGTTATTAATTAAATAATAAATAACCTCACTAATTTACACATACCTCTTTTTTATTTTTACTCAATCTTTCGTTTTTTTTCTCTATTGATTTTACTTTTAAAATGTGTAATTAACAAATAAATAAATAAATTATTATTTAAAATATAAATATTATACTATAAATACTCAAATTTTCATATTACAAAATATCTTTAAGTATGAATTATAATTGATTTTTAATAAATATTATACAATAAATACTCAAATTTTCATATTATAAAGTGTCGAATTATTATTAATTTCTAATATTTTAGTTTTATTATATGTAATTAATGGATGTATATTACACAAACGCGAGTACGAATTGTAGTACTGAAGATAGAGAGAGAGAGAGAGAGAGAAATGAATGGACAGAAATCTGGATAATATAATCCCGTCAAAGCTGCAGGCAAATGGAAAGTCAGTTTCATGAAGGCTGCATAGAAATTCTAGGAGAGAGAAATTCAACCATTCTTTGTTGGAAATTCAGTCAATCAATCAAAACCCTCCTTCCTTTTTCTTCTTCTCACGCGGATTCACCATTAAACCCATCTCAGCAACAGTCTCGTAGTATCAATTTAATTCACAATCACTCACCACAATCCAAGCTTCATATATTACCATAATCTGAGCAGAAATTTTGTGTTTCTTTGAATTTTTCTTCTTGTTTTTTTTTTTATTTTTACTTTCTGTTTTCCAACAGAATTTTTTTCATAGCCCTTGTAAATCAGTTCAAAAACTAGAAAAATTGAGACCCTTTGAAAATTCTTGTTTTCTTTCATAATCTTTGTGAGACCCTTTGAAATTCATTTCAGAAACGGCGGTCTGAGAAAATTTTGAGTTTGTTTAATGGTGTCTGCGGGTATATTTTCTTCTTTAAGGAGGAGAAGATCGCCGTCGATAGAGGCGTTTTTGGTGCCGGTAGATCTGAGTGATGGGCCGTTGTTGGAGACGCTAGCGGCGGAGCTGATATCGGAATTCTCTGGCAAAACGATGAGGTTTCAGCGGAAGAATTCGCGGTCATTGATTCGGAAAATTCAGGTATTTGTGGGTTTGTTAGAGTTTGTTCGTGATTCTAGTTTGAAGTTGCCTTCAACGGAGAATTTGTGCTTTAAAGAGCTGTATTTGTTGTTGTATCGGTCGAAGATTTTGCTTGATTATTGCTTTCAATCGAGTAAATTATGGCTTTTGCTTCAAAACCATTCGATTTCGGGTCATTTTCATGATTTGAATCAAGAAATTTCGACCCTTCTGGATGTTTTTCCATTGGAAGAATTGAATCTTAATGATGATGTAAGAGAACAGATTGAATTGTTAAAAAGGCAATCCAAAAGGGCAAAATTGTTTATTGATAAACATGATGAATCATTGAGGATCAAACTGTATTCGTTTCTGAGTGAATTTGAGAATGGAAAAATTCCTGATCCGGTTGAACTGTGCTCTTTTTTCGTGGAAATGTTGGGAATTTGTGATGCTCGGAGTTGCAGGGTTGAAATTGAGTTTCTTGAAGAACAAATTGTGAATCATGAAGGGGATGTTGAGCCTACTGCCTCTGTGCTCAAGGGGTTTGTGGCTTTGACTCGTTATTGTAGATTTTTGCTATTTGGATTTGAGGATGACGAAGTGGAAGTGGGGATTGGAAAACATAAGAAGCCAAAAAAAGGGTTGATTTCCCGGGAAATAGCGGAGACGTTTATTACGATCCCCAAGGATTTTTGCTGCCCTATATTGTTGGATTTGATGGCAGACCCGGTGATAATTTCGACAGGGCAGACTTATGATCGATCTTCGATATCTAGGTGGATGGAGGAAGGGCATTGTACTTGTCCAAAGACAGGGCAGATGCTTGTTCATACCCGGCTTGTGCCCAATAGAGCTCTTAGGAATTTGATTATGTTGTGGTGCACTGCTCATGGAATCCCCTATGATCCACCTGAGAGTGTGGAGTCATCTTGTGAAACGTTTGCAGCTGCTTCAGCAAGTAAGGCTGCGGTTGAAGCTAATAAAGCCACTGCAGGGCTTCTCATTCAACAACTAGCAAATGGGACACAGAGTGCGAAGACAATTGCTGCCCGGGAGATACGATTGTTAGCAAAAACTGGGAAGGAAAATCGGGCTTACATTGCAGAGGCTGGAGCAGTACCCCTTTTGAAAGAACTGCTTTCATCTCCTAATACTGTTGCACAGGAAAATTCTGTGACTGCCATGCTTAACTTATCTATCTATGAAAAGAATAAAAGCCGGATTATGGATGAAGTCGGGTGTTTAGGATCAATTGTTGGAGTTCTGAGATTTGGGCACACAACCGAGGCCAGGGAAAATGCTGCAGCGACATTGTTCAGCCTGTCTGCAGTTCATGACTATAAGAGGAGAATAGCGGAAGAAAATGGGGCAATTGAAGCTTTGGGAGCACTGTTGAGAGAGGGGACACCCAGAGGAAAAAAGGATGCAGTGACAGCTCTATTTAATATTTCTACACACACAGATAACTGTATAAGATTGATAGAGTCAGGGGCTGTAACAGCATTAGTGGGGGCTTTGGGATGTGAAGGTGTCGCGGATGAAGCAGCAGGTGCACTGGCCCTTGTTGTTAGGCAGGCAATTGGGGCTGAAGCAGTTGGGAATGAGGAAATGGCAGTGTCTGGGCTAATTGGAATGATGCGGTGTGGGACTCCAAGAGGGAAAGAAAATGCAGTTGCGGCATTGTTTGAATTGTGTCGCAGTGGTGGAGCAGCTGCAACAGAGAGGGTGTTGAAGGCACCAGCTTTGGCTGGTTTGCTTCAAACTCTGGTCTGCACGGGGACAAGGCGGGCAAGGAGAAAAGCAGCATCACTTGCTCGATTTTTCGAGAGGAGTGAGAATGCATCCTTGCATTTTGGTGGGTTGGGTGTAGGGTATACAGTTGCAAGGAACTCAGCTGCAACTAGGGATTCAAGTTTTGCTGGCGACGTCTACGCATTTGCAAGGAACTCAGCTGCAACTCGGGATTCAAGTTTTGCTGGTGATGTCTCAAGGTCAACAATGTCCATTTCAGTTCCAGTATTGTAGTGGTAACATCCACACTTCTTGTTGTCGTTCCAAATTCATTATGCTCCCATCTTACTTTGTAGTATTTACAAATTCTTTCATTGAAATATTAATATGAGAAAAATAATAATAGTAATACCATAATTGATGTGTTTAAAAAGAATGATCAGTGTTCAAAGCTGTTAGTCCCTTCTATTTAGTGGCCAATGTTTTGGGAGCAGATTATGAAATACTCTCAAAATAAACAGACCCCTGCAATTGCCTGTGGAATAATTTCTTCCGGCGAATTTTCTTCTTATCCCTTGATTTTATGAGACACAGACGCCCAAGAATATTGTACCAGAAAAAATGAGATAACATTTCAGATTATTTTGGATATTTTTGTGTTTGTGAACTTATTGAAATAATGTCCCATCTTTTCCTTACTGACAGTTTCAATTTGTTTGATCCCTCAAATGTGTTGATTATGTAACTTGACCAACTTGCTTGTTTTTTTTTTGTTGGGTCCTGATCACTTACCTGCCAATAAATTCATTGTTTGCTTATTTCGTAGAGATAGTAAGCCATGTTATAACAGTTCTAACAGTACTACAAGCGTAGTGGTTTTCACATTTTTATTTTATTTGCAATAAAATAGTTCAACTGACACAGATAGTGCTGAATTAGTATGAGAAAGTTCACTAGCAAGGTGTTACTTGTTTCTATGAGTGGACCGGTGACCAACTATTTTGCTTCAAATGGAGTTCAATCACTTCAACTTGTAAGCAAAACATCATGGTGCTGGATTATATCAGCCATGGTGGTAATCTTCTCTAATGAAGTTGGTATGCTGACCCTCCATGCCTTTTTTTTTTTTTGGCCAGAAGGTAAATAATTTTATAAAACAAAATATTAACATTGTATCAAAACAAACTTTTGTGGGTGTTAGAAACCCCTGTAGATCTGGGTTTTGGTTAGAATTTCACCAGAAGCAGTATCTTCTAGATATTCAAGAGTGGTAATACTTCCAGTGTTCAGTTGACAGGCAAAGTTAGGAAAGGGTAGAAGTTTGGTGGGTCTCGTGCAGTAGGTTGCTCTTTTTTTAAGCTTCAGGTGATGATGACATATCAAAATTAATGACTTACCTAAAAAGACATTGAAAATTAATGATTGGTTTAATGTAATATGATTCATCATCCCATAACCAAAGAAAATGGTAGTTGCACTGTATTTCTCTAATAAGCTTCCTGTTTGCTGTCCCAGCCAAAAACTCAAATGAGAACAAAATTAGGCTTTGCCTTGTTAAATCCCTAATACTTTTATGCAGTCTGTATCTGTAAAAGTTTTTTCTTTCTGCTTCTTTTTCATCATCATGTTCTTCTTCTTCTTCTTCTTCTTCCTCCTCCTCCTCCTCCTCCTTTTTTGCTTGAAGCAATCAAGATTGCTTGGGAACAAGAATGTCAAAATCACTAACAGTCCATTCTGCAACTTGATTAGGGTCTTTGAATATTTCAGTACCCAAGTCAATGGAGGTCCATTGCCTCCTAGCTGGTGGAGTTCCTGGGTCCTGCAACAAAATTTACAACCACCATCAGTCTCAAAGCAAGTTTATCAATTCTAGGTATCTAATTTTGTTAATACCTAGTTGAAGAGATCAGTGTAGCTGAACTTACTAAAGCTTTACATTTTAAACTATTCAGAATCCATCTTGCAAAATTTTTTTTTTTTTAAATTCTCCTGTATATACCAGTAACTTTACCTTTAATGTTGGAGCTCCATATTATCAGGAATAGCAAGTGAACTAGCATAAATTGACATTAAACTAACTTTTCTTGAAAGTTTATATTATCATGGGAATCTAGAGAACTTTCTATTAGCTTGTCATTAATGTTCTAGTCTGGAAATTTGTCTCTCGATAAATAAGAGTAAGCCTGTTACTGCTTACCTTTCCTAGACTCCACAATAGGCAGTTGTTTTGTTTACTGTATACGACCTGTATTTTTATTAGTTCTTAATTAATCCATTTCCTTTATTATGACTTTGTAAGTTCCTAATTATTAATGTCCAAAACTTACAACATTTTTCTTTTCCCATTCACTTTAAACCAGTAAATGGTGCAAAAGTCTATCTCACAAATGTTTTTCATTTGTTTGGAGGGAGATATGATTTAGAATTTTATATAGATGATTGTTTTGAATCTAATTTTTTCTCCTAATGTTTGACAGTAGTGCTCTAAATATGAGATTCTATACCATATGAAACCTATGCACAAGGCTCCTGCTTATTGCTAAGCCTAGGAGAGATAAGTGACAAACACTCTTATCCTGTTAGGGAGAGAGATTCTCGAACTCAAATCTATAATGTATCGCTTAGGCTGATCAACACCTCTGGATCTCAATTTTCAAATTTAAGAACTGAAATTTATAGAAGTTCAAACCTGGTAAAAATAAAGTGACTGAGCCAACCTCCCAACATCAAGCTCCCAAGTCCTTGGATCCCCAATCCAACCCTCTCCTTTCTTGGTAGGGTACCCATACTCGCCCCAAACTGGGTGTGGCAAAATCTGCAGTATCTCCTGAGGCTGAGGATTGCTAAATGGATCACATGGAACATTAGGGTTCTCAAGAAACTCTCCATTTCCAGGAGAGCAGTGTAGGTGATAGGCCTCATAGGGGAAGCGAGCAGTGTCATTGCGCCCGACCCGAGTGCCGTTGGGGAATGTGTGGTAGGGAGGGCACAGTTTGAGGTTGTCTGCATGGCACCATGAAGGTGTTTCTGGGTTCAGAATCATTTCACTGTATCTAGTTACGTCTGAGATTACATTGCCATTGCAGGGCTGGCCATTGTTCTTCCAACAGCTTCCTATGTCCATCAAGTAGAATTGGCTGTTTGGGCCACCACCTCTGATCACATTCAAGGTGAACCTCACTTTGAAATTTGGTGATTCTGGAATCTACAGAAGACACAATGAAATGTAAGCTTATATGGTCAAAGCAACTGAGAGAAAAGTTAGGGTTGTAACTCAGGTGGGTTGAGTGATCAACGTGGGTCATAAAACACGCTATCTTCCTTTAACCCAAAGACAAATTCAACTCGACTATTGCCCATGCATAAATTTGAATTCGGATTATACAACTTGGGTTAAAGTTCGACTTCAATTCTCAGGTGAAAAAGGGTTCAATTAGGATTTTATTCTTGGGTTACACATTATAGACTGAAATTCTGGTTCAACTTGAGTTGGGTTTTGCCAAGACCCAAGACCCAAGACCCAAACTCAAGTACCATCCAACTTTAAATTGGGTTAAATTTTTTTTTCCAAATCTAATCTGCGTATTGAAAATCTCTGGTTAAGTATTGAATATGTGGATCCAGGTTGTATTCAGATTGATCCATCCAAGTTTCATCGCGTCACAAAATTACACAGATCAAATGGCCAATGACAACTCTGTACTATTAGAAACTGGCATGATGTTTAATAAATTGATCAATAAGTGTATGGTATAGAGAGCTTGTGAAGATGTTGTCATGAAATTCAATACATGATTGAAATTACTCACAATTTTGGACATCCCCCTAGTTGGGTAATGGTACCCACCAGAAAACCCAGTTGTGGCATCTGATCTCAAGTAAAGCATCAACCATGGATACTTAATAGAAGTCTTCAAGACATGGTGGAATACCCAACTACCTCTTCCAAGTTGTTTCTCCCAAGCCACAGAATAGTAAGAAATGTTCACTACCATTCCTTCACTTAAATCAGCATCCAAGTCCCATGACCCAAAAAACTTTCCCTTAAGTGTAGTCCTATTAGGCCCTTGTAAGGTTGTGTAGTTGTGATAAATCAATGGCTGGTTCATGCACCCTGNATCTAAACAAGCCCAAAACGAGCCGAATTCGAGTCAAACCCGAGTATTTACATATAAATGAGTTGAGACTATCGAGTTTAAATCGAGCTTGTCAAGCTCATTTCTAAACGAGTTTAAAAAATGATTCAAAACTCAGTTTAATCGAGCCTGAACCAAGCTCAAGTATCTCAGTTCGATTATCAACTTTACTGAAAGGAGATCTTAATATTATTCTCTATTTGGATAATGACTTTGGGTTGTTTGATGATCCGAATAGTTCGAGCTCGATTGGGCTCAATTCAATTTTGACTCACTCCAACTTTGTTCAAACTACAACATGAACTGAATTTAATACAATATGTAAGTTTGTTTTGCATCTAGGCAATGCATGGTTGAACTTGATTTGAATAAGTTCATTTCCATATATAATTCAGAAAACCCTTATAACGAAAAAATGAAGAACCCAAACTAATTATCAAGTAGCTTTAGATCATATATATGATGTTGATAATCAAGTCGAGTTTTGAGAGTTCAAGTTAAGTTTGTCGAGCTTGTTTTTTTATACGAGTCTAAAAAATTGTTCAACTTCAACTCATTTAGAAAATGAGTCAAGCTCTAGCCGAGCCCAAAACTAACTAAATTCAAATATTTTGACAAATTTACATATAAACGAGCTGAGCCTTTGTAGGCCATTTTATAAACGAGTCTAAAATATTATCTAAATTCGGCTTGATTAGAACTTGAGCCAAACTCTTATTCGAGCCGAGCCTTTTTAGGCCGTTTTCTAAATGAATTTAAAAAATTATTTAAATTCGACTTGTTTAGAACTTGAGCCAAACTCTATTCCGAGCAGAACCTAAGTAACTTGACTTAATTATCAGCCCTAGATGTACATCCCAGTTGCCTACTCCGTTTTACTACATTTTGGGGAAATTTAAATTTATAGGGTTTGATTTTATGATTGAATATATAGATATGAAGGATTTTTATCGAGAAATGAATTATTTTAATGTTGATCATTAAGTTTTAAGCCTTTAATTTTGGAAAGTTGGGTCTTTCTCAGCCTTTTGGCTGAATTCAATTTTATTTTTTTGGAGTTATTCTAAAAAATCGAATTCGTAATAGCTCAAATGCTTGTAAATTTTTCTCACGCTAAGTTTTACAAGAATTTAAGTTAGACAATTGAAATCGACTATGTACAACTGAACTAAATTTAAAATCTAAATATACTCGTTTAACAAGCTGGAATCGATTAATCCTATAACTTTGGGAGTAAGAAAATTGGTTTCTTATATTCAAAGTGATGCCTTCATCATATCTGAAGTAAGAGAAAGCCAAAGAATTTGACTACCCGATCCTTAGAGTGCAAACATGCTTTTCCTGTCAAAGCAGTTCAAAAAAGTTGACCTGACCTAATGGGATGGCAACCCAACCTATACCATTTTTTCAAATAGGAAACATTAAATTTTATTAATAGATAATAAAAAAGAAGAATTACAAATGCTCTCTAAGGTTGATAAAGACATCCAACCCAAGAATAGTTGAACTCATACATCATAAAAGCAAAACAGAACAGAACATAATCATGCTACATTTTACAGGAGATTGTCCATCTCGTAGTAATACAACAAAGAGGAATGTTTGCAAACGTTTTAGACACCGACTGTCCAAAAGAAGCCGAGAAAAACATCTGGTCCCATAAACATTCCACCTCTTCGCATTTGCCATAAAAAATCTTCGCGTTCCTTTTCAACCAAATAACTCAAATAGTACGAAAAAATGTATATCGCTAAAAGGGTCTTCATCTTTTTGTTTCCTACCCAACCCCTAGCATTCAAAGCAAGCATTGAAGACATAGTGCCACCCAACATAGTCGCACAAAACTAAACTTGTTCCAAAGCAAGAAAGCTGTTGGACAATGCAAAAAAAAAAATTATTCACACTCTCACTGTCATTTCTACACATTACACATTACAGAGGGAGACAACGAGTCTTAGGTATTCTTTGAAGCATGTCATCAGTTTGTTCTTACCATGATCAATAAATCATGCACACAGTTGCACAGGCATATTGGCTTTCCAAATTCTCAATGAGGGAAGAAACAATGGAATAGTGGAATCATCAATTAACAATTCAAAGAAAGATTTACTTGAAAACACGTCCGTTGAATCAATAAACCAACATCTTTTGTCAAGCTGATTTTGGGTTAAAAAAACATTACTGGGCATAGAGAGAAGCACCACTAACTCCAAACATTCTCTATCAGTAAGGCTCCTACAAAATCCATCACCTTTTGGATGATCTCAGACCAGCGGGCTTAAGCTCCCAGAACTCTTACTATGTTACCCAAATTCATGTAAACCACTGCACAGGCTTATGCCTATAGGTTAAAATTGTTGACGGAAGTTACCATGTGTCAAAGTGTTAGTAGTTTTGAACAATCGATTGGACCACTTGGAGTTAGACTGAATTTTTTATTTTTGGTAAAAACATGAAAAGAATAAGAACTAAAGTGGAACAGGATGCATACTTTAGAACCATTATGATAGAAATAACCACAAAAAGCAGCATACATATTTAAGCGGCCGTTGATAAGCAACTTCAGAGAGGGTGATATATAAACCATTTGACAATGACAACTATAAGAAAAGAGTACTCCTTACAAGCAGGAATAGTAACAAAATTCCAAAAAAAAAACCACATTTAGTATCTTTATATTGAATCATATGATTACACAAGACATAACGATTTTCCAATATAGGCAAGTGCCATGGAAAGAGAATCTACAGTGAAACAGCACATGTAGATTACAAACAATCAACTTTTAGACCTCGTGGCCGTGATTCATCCTTTCTGAATTCCTTTTTTCTCCCCCAAAAGAAACGATAAAAAGTCCAGTACTTCCTCCTACCAACAATAGGATCACAAACAAAGCGAGCATGTCTTGATAATTCATGTGCCGATCAATTCTCCATTCTGCGTACACACATCACTTGAGAGAGTATCTAAATTTCTGCAAATACTCTTCAGTCTTCCCATCTGCAATACTAGTTAAATATCATCACAGCCTTCTTGTTGAGCAAACAAAACAGCTTCGCTCGGTGTTTTTGCTGTCCGAGCATCATAAGCATGCTTGTCATATGCCAGCCACAAAGTGACTGCACTCATTTCTGAATTCTTTCTTCAGGCCCAAAAGCCTCCAGATTCTTTCCCCTTATATTCAATTCAAATGGTACTAAAGGCGTTTTAGTCTAATTGCCAATTGTGCTTTCAGTAGGTCTTATTATAGCCAGCTAAGAAAACTAGACTTTGATAATCAAAGGAGTTCTTCCACCCNCCAAGTTTCATCGCGTCACAAAATTACACAGATCAAATGGCCAATGACAACTCTGTACTATTAGAAACTGGCATGATGTTTAATAAATTGATCAATAAGTGTATGGTATAGAGAGCTTGTGAAGATGTTGTCATGAAATTCAATACATGATTGAAATTACTCACAATTTTGGACATCCCCCTAGTTGGGTAATGGTACCCACCAGAAAACCCAGTTGTGGCATCTGATCTCAAGTAAAGCATCAACCATGGATACTTAATAGAAGTCTTCAAGACATGGTGGAATACCCAACTACCTCTTCCAAGTTGTTTCTCCCAAGCCACAGAATAGTAAGAAATGTTCACTACCATTCCTTCACTTAAATCAGCATCCAAGTCCCATGACCCAAAAAACTTTCCCTTAAGTGTAGTCCTATTAGGCCCTTGTAAGGTTGTGTAGTTGTGATAAATCAATGGCTGGTTCATGCACCCTGTTCCGAAGCAAGGAAACCGATTGTCAGGCCCGTATGGCCTGACTTTCTTGCCATTTTTCGGGCACTTGGCGGCGGAAGTGTCCATGTTGCCATTCTTCAGCATGATCATCCAGAATTGCCATGGATTTGGTGTGTCTTGAACTTGGCATTTGGAGCCCAAGTATAGTTCTTTTCCTGCTGCATAAAGGTCTACATTGAGAAATTCCTCTGGTTGTCCTCCAAGAAAAGGTTTTCCCACACCAAGGTTGTTGTCTTCCTCTGTTACCCTGTGGATTAACATGTATGGAATTGAACTGCAGAGGGAGCAGTTGTTTTTTAACCCTGCAGAATTTCCAACATTGTTCAAGAAGTTGATTATTGTGTAGACATGCATGAATTGAACTGTATTTGGGTCGTGCTATATTCGAATCGATTAATTTGGGTTACTATTATGTTCTTGTCATTTTCGTATAATCTGTGAAGCACAAACCACAGGTCTAAGACCCCCTTTTTTTTTTTCTAAATCAAGTCCACCACATGTAGGTCCTAGTATATTAGAAATTTACTTGATCCACATCCTAGCAAAAGAAAATTAAAGAAAAACTATTTAATTCTATAATAATTCATATAATACTTGATCAAAAAAGAAAATATAAGTAAAAATCAAACATTTTATTGTTATAGTTAAACGAGTTATTCATATTTGATACTAACCTGACATTTATTATTGTGTCAGATTTATATCGCGTTGGACATTGTCATCCCTTAGCACATCTTATGTTATCTACATTCTTCTTTTTGTCTTTCTCTTAATAGGAAACAAATATTGGTGTCCAAACCAGAGGAATGGCAACAAAAACTCATCCAATAATAGCTCACCTTTTTCTAAAACAATACCCACCGAGATATCAAACATGACAGTTCTTATACCCAAAAGAGAGAAAAGCACAAAAAAACAAATAAAAATAAAAGATAGACATATATGTATTTGTCATCCTTGAGAAGGTGAATGCAGAAAGTGAGAATGAAAAACAGATACATTGGACATTGAGAACTATCTAAAATGGTTTTCGAGATGGTTAGCCCCATTTCGATGGAGTGGAGATCAACGGTTCGAATCTCCTATCTAGCAATTGTACGAATAATAGTTAATTGAAAAAAACATAAATTGGGCACTGACTTTTTAACTCTGGAAAAGCTCTATAAACATCAAAGCAATCAGCAGCTCTTGGGCTGCCCATGTTAGGAGCTTCATCTCCAACCTCATTGCACTGATTCCATGCCTCTATTGCCAATCTCAACCCATCTCTTCTCATCCCTGGATCACCCACTGCTGATATGTATTCTTCATTTCCATGGTTCATCTCCAGACCACAAGAGAGAGACACCACAACCACAAGCAGAACAAGAATCAAACAACAAGGGTTTTTGTGTTGTGCCATTTGATAAGTGTTGTGTACGTAAGGTTTGCTATTTATGAAAGCATGTGAAAATAAGATAGCTGTTGTTGAATGGGAGGTATATTTTTAAAAGTTCAGATATATTCTTTTTTTTTTTTCAATATTTTTTAACCAACAACTCTTCCTTTTGATTGCATGGATTGTATTCTTTCTCCATCTATATTATCATCCATGCTTACCAACTTTTATAATAATTTTTTTACATCAATTCAATGATTATGATCGTGTCATATCATTTACTGAAAGAGAATTGATGCACGCAATATTTTTCATGAACTATTTCTTTTATGTTTTATTGTTAATTGAAGTAATGTCGACCGGTATGACTGATAATCGAACGAGTTTGAACAAGTTCGTCTTTTTAAATAAGTCTAAAAAATTATTCAAGTTTAAGCCGAATCTAAACAAGCCCAAAACGAGCCGAATTCGAGTCAAACCCGAGTATTTACATATAAATGAGTTGAGACTATCGAGTTTAAATCGAGCTTGTCAAGCTCATTTCTAAACGAGTTTAAAAAATGATTCAAAACTCAGTTTAATCGAGCCTGAACCAAGCTCAAGTATCTCAGTTCGATTATCAACTTTACTGAAAGGAGATCTTAATATTATTCTCTATTTGGATAATGACTTTGGGTTGTTTGATGATCCGAATAGTTCGAGCTCGATTGGGCTCAATTCAATTTTGACTCACTCCAACTTTGTTCAAACTACAACATGAACTGAATTTAATACAATATGTAAGTTTGTTTTGCATCTAGGCAATGCATGGTTGAACTTGATTTGAATAAGTTCATTTCCATATATAATTCAGAAAACCCTTATAACGAAAAAATGAAGAACCCAAACTAATTATCAAGTAGCTTTAGATCATATATATGATGTTGATAATCAAGTCGAGTTTTGAGAGTTCAAGTTAAGTTTGTCGAGCTTGTTTTTTTATACGAGTCTAAAAAATTGTTCAACTTCAACTCATTTAGAAAATGAGTCAAGCTCTAGCCGAGCCCAAAACTAACTAAATTCAAATATTTTGACAAATTTACATATAAACGAGCTGAGCCTTTGTAGGCCATTTTATAAACGAGTCTAAAATATTATCTAAATTCGGCTTGATTAGAACTTGAGCCAAACTCTTATTCGAGCCGAGCCTTTTTAGGCCGTTTTCTAAATGAATTTAAAAAATTATTTAAATTCGACTTGTTTAGAACTTGAGCCAAACTCTATTCCGAGCAGAACCTAAGTAACTTGACTTAATTATCAGCCCTAGATGTACATCCCAGTTGCCTACTCCGTTTTACTACATTTTGGGGAAATTTAAATTTATAGGGTTTGATTTTATGATTGAATATATAGATATGAAGGATTTTTATCGAGAAATGAATTATTTTAATGTTGATCATTAAGTTTTAAGCCTTTAATTTTGGAAAGTTGGGTCTTTCTCAGCCTTTTGGCTGAATTCAATTTTATTTTTTTGGAGTTATTCTAAAAAATCGAATTCGTAATAGCTCAAATGCTTGTAAATTTTTCTCACGCTAAGTTTTACAAGAATTTAAGTTAGACAATTGAAATCGACTATGTACAACTGAACTAAATTTAAAATCTAAATATACTCGTTTAACAAGCTGGAATCGATTAATCCTATAACTTTGGGAGTAAGAAAATTGGTTTCTTATATTCAAAGTGATGCCTTCATCATATCTGAAGTAAGAGAAAGCCAAAGAATTTGACTACCCGATCCTTAGAGTGCAAACATGCTTTTCCTGTCAAAGCAGTTCAAAAAAGTTGACCTGACCTAATGGGATGGCAACCCAACCTATACCATTTTTTCAAATAGGAAACATTAAATTTTATTAATAGATAATAAAAAAGAAGAATTACAAATGCTCTCTAAGGTTGATAAAGACATCCAACCCAAGAATAGTTGAACTCATACATCATAAAAGCAAAACAGAACAGAACATAATCATGCTACATTTTACAGGAGATTGTCCATCTCGTAGTAATACAACAAAGGGGAATGTTTGCAAACGTTTTAGACACCGACTGTCCAAAAGAAGCCGAGAAAAACATCTGGTCCCATAAACATTCCACCTCTTCGCATTTGCCATAAAAAATCTTCGCGTTCCTTTTCAACCAAATAACTCAAATAGTACGAAAAAATGTATATCGCTAAAAGGGTCTTCATCTTTTTGTTTCCTACCCAACCCCTAGCATTCAAAGCAAGCATTGAAGACATAGTGCCACCCAACATAGTCCCACAAAACTAAACTTGTTCCAAAGCAAGAAAGCTGTTGGACAATGCAAAAAAAAAAATTATTCACACTCTCACTGTCATTTCTACACATTACACATTACAGAGGGAGACAACGAGTCTTAGGTATTCTTTGAAGCATGTCATCAGTTTGTTCTTACCATGATCAATAAATCATGCACACAGTTGCACAGGCATATTGGCTTTCCAAATTCTCAATGAGGGAAGAAACAATGGAATAGTGGAATCATCAATTAACAATTCAAAGAAAGATTTACTTGAAAACACGTCCGTTGAATCAATAAACCAACATCTTTTGTCAAGCTGATTTTGGGTTAAAAAAACATTACTGAGCATAGAGAGAAGCACCACTAACTCCAAACATTCTCTATCAGTAAGGCTCCTACAAAATCCATCACCTTTTGGATGATCTCAGACCAGCGGGCTTAAGCTCCCAGAACTCTTACTATGTTACCCAAATTCATGTAAACCACTGCACAGGCTTATGCCTATAGGTTAAAATTGTTGACGGAAGTTACCATGTGTCAAAGTGTTAGTAGTTTTGAACAATCGATTGGACCACTTGGAGTTAGACTGAATTTTTTATTTTTGGTAAAAATATGAAAAGAATAAGAACTAAAGTGGAACAGGATGCATACTTTAGAACCATTATGATAGAAATAACCACAAAAAGCAGCATACATATTTAAGCGGCCGTTGATAAGCAACTTCAGAGAGGGTGATATATAAACCATTTGACAATGACAACTATAAGAAAAGAGTACTCCTTACAAGCAGGAATAGTAACAAAATTCCAAAAAAAAAAACCACATTTAGTATCTTTATATTGAATCATATGATTACACAAGACATAACGATTTTCCAATATAGGCAAGTGCCATGGAAAGAGAATCTACAGTGAAACAGCACATGTAGATTACAAACAATCAACTTTTAGACCTCGTGGCCGTGATTCATCCTTTCTGAATTCCTTTTTTCTCCCCCAAAAGAAACGATAAAAAGTCCAGTACTTCCTCCTACCAACAATAGGATCACAAACAAAGCGAGCATGTCTTGATAATTCATGTGCCGATCAATTCTCCATTCTGCGTACACACATCACTTGAGAGAGTATCTAAATTTCTGCAAATACTCTTCAGTCTTCCCATCTGCAATACTAGTTAAATATCATCACAGCCTTCTTGTTGAGCAAACAAAACAGCTTCGCTCGGTGTTTTTGCTGTCCGAGCATCATAAGCATGCTTGTAATATTCCAGCCACAAAGTGACTGCACTCATTTCTGAATTCTTTCTTCAGGCCCAAAAGCCTCCAGATTCTTTCCCCTTATATTCAATTCAAATGGTACTAAAGGCGTTTTAGTCTAATTGCCAATTGTGCTTTCAGTAGGTCTTATTATAGCCAGCTAAGAAAACTAGACTTTGATAATCAAAGGAGTTCTTCCACCCATCTGAAACTCTCAAAAGTCACAAGATCTACAAAATTCAAACTTTTAGTTGTAAACCTCAATTAGAGACCAACTGCCCAAGCCATCAGGAAAAAAAATTAGAGTTCTAGTTCTGTCAAAGTGGTATCTGATTGATGGTTCATATTCTCTGGAAGTAGGCTCTCATTGCCCTCGAAAGAAATCATTCCTTCACCAGCTAAGAACTCATGAACAATTCCATCAACTTCAATCATGCTACAACCTGGCTCTTTAGTGACTCCTTGTGCCCGCATCTTCCTCCTTGCCTCCATAACATCATACCATCTTCCCATAGATGCATGAACATTTGACAATTGAACATAACCAGCACTGTCTTGAGGATCCAACTCCAAAAGTCTCCTAGCAATGCGTTCTGCCAATACGACATCACCATGCTTTCTGCAAGAACCCAAAAGAGACTCCCAAACAGCAGGAGCTTCTTTCACTGGCATTTTCTTCACAATTTCCTCAGCTTCTTCAATCAATCCGAACCGACCAAGTAAATCCACCATACAACCATAATGCTCAATTGTGGGTTGAATCTCATAAACGTGAACCATGAGATCAAACATTTCACGCCCCTTGTTTAACAAACCTGTTCGACTGCAGGCTGATAGAACACTCACAAAGGAAACCTCATTGGGCTTGAAACCATCCCCAACCATGTCATAGAAAATCTGTAATGCATGCTCTCCAAATCCATGAATGCTTAGTCCTGTAATCATTGAATTCCATGTGCTAACATCCTTCCTCAAAGTATCATTAAACACTTCAAAAGCCTTCTCAATATACCCACATTTTGAATACATGTCTACAAGAGCCGTAGCTAAAAAACCATTAACATCAATCCCATTCTTATCGATATAGGCATGAACCCACTTCCCTTGGCTCAAAGCTCCAAGATTAGCACAAGCTGATAACACATTCACTAGTGTGCAATTATCAGGCTTTACTTTAGCATGCTGCATTGCCTCAAAAAACCTCAATACATCACAAAATCGACTAATGTGAGCATACCCCGTGATCATGGCATTCCAAGACACTGTATTTTTCATTGGCATCTCATCAAAAATACCTCTTGCTTCATCAATTAATCCATCATTGACATAACCGGAAATCATAAAATTCCAAGACTCCAAATTCTTGTCAGGCATTTCATCGAACAATCCACGAGCCCAGTCCACCAAACCCATCTCAGCAAACGCACTCAACATCGCATTCCAGGAAATAACATCCCTCATTGGCATATTATCAAGCAAACTACGTGCAATTTCAAAACTGCCACAACAAGCGTACATGTGAATCAAAGTATTACATATATACACATCATCCCCAACTCCAGTCTTTACCACATGACCATGAACTTGTCGCCCTTCTTCAACACTGCGAAGCGTTGAACAAGCCTTCAAAAGAAAAGTGAAACTGTACTTATCTGGGGCAACACGGTGATCATATAGCATTTGAAGGAAGATAAGGAGAGCAAGTTGAGGGGTGGGACTATTGGCATAGGCACGTATCATGGTGTTGTAGATGTATGTGTTTGGGTGTTGAATGCGAGTGAATATGGATTGAGCGTAAGGGAGGGTGTCAGAGTTGGTGTTGGTAATAGCGGTGGTGATGAGTCGGCTAGCTGCAAATGGGTGGTGAAAGAGGCCAGTTTTGAGCATGTGGGCGTGAGCTTGGTGGAGCTCGGAGATGGAAGTGGCCATCTCTGTGAAAGAGACAACTGGTGGTGGAGAGAAGCATGTAGACATGGCTGGGTGAAGCTTGTTGGGAATAGCGTACATGTATTTGTTTTAAAATGAACATTTCTTTTTTTCACTGCCGAACGTTGGTCCGATGAATAAAAATTTATATTTTCTTGCTTAATGCTGTCATTCGAGTCTCCATAACTACAATAGTTCAGTGGGACAAAACCTATTCTTCAACATCTAAAATATGTAGTGAGACCTTTGCTTTGGTCCTGATCTAAGTGCGGTTGAGTCCCCTCTAAATGGATTTATGGTACTAAAAGAAAGTACTCTTTAATGAATATGTAAAATGGTCTATCTACAAATCTATTTTATTTACCTAAAAAAAGATTTTGATCAATTCAATAGGGCAGATAAATTATAGAAATTTATACAAGAATGTGACATGAATTCATCTGGCATGACTGATGGGTAGCCATGTTGTTAATCACATCTTGCAACTGCTGAATACGAACTCCCGCAAATGAAATGGATTAACATAATACATTCACATTGAAAACTCTCAACTCTCCAAGTGCACTCAAAGTCCAAGCAGCGCATATTTTACGAGAACAGCCTTCCATTGATTGTGTGTAATGAGCTGTGACACAGAGAAGAGGCTGCAAAGAATTCTTGTCCGGAGGAATCTAAAATTAGATGATAATTGTGCTCTCAAAACGAAAGGTTAGATTCTGTATGGCCTATTCAGAATTATGGTAAAATCAAACGTCGATTAATGATAAAAATGTTTGCATCAACATGTCATGATATGCACAACAAGAGTGAAATCAATCATGTCTCTGCGGGAGTAAGATGTCCAAATTGCTCTGCAAGGTTACTCACACTATTTCTATTCCAACAAAAGTGCCCTTGGTCAACAGGTTTGCTGTCATTCTTTCTGCTGTCAAGATCTTTTCTTTCTTGCTGAACTTCCGATGCAGCAGTTGATCCAGGATTCTCAGTAAGAAACTGCTCCCAGAATACATCATTGACCCCAGTAGACACAGTGACACCTATTTGCTCTTCTGACGCAGCAACCTCTGGAACAATGGCAGTAAAAGGTTCAGAATTCATGTCAATCCCAGAAGTTTTAGACCTGCCATCAACATTTAATTCTGTGTAAGACATAGTGGGGCTATCTGCACAACTTGTAGATTCATCTAACTCCAGGGATAAATTCTGTTGCATGTAAGCTTGACCAACACTGTGTATAATATTCTCCCAAAATATAAGGGAAGACTTCAACTTCTCCAACAATTCCTTGTTGAACACCGAAAGAGAACTACCACTTAAATTTTCTCCAGCCAAGATCTGGGAAGTTCCTTTTTGATTACGATCAATGCTGGCATCAGCAGTAAAATAATTGTTTCTTGGTAACCTCCTCTTTCTATCATGTATTTCGGATTGCGGCAGGAGATTCAGAGAAACTTCTGGTTTTTGTAAGACTCGAGCCAAGGCTGATAACATATTCATTTGCCGCTGTTCTACATGTTGCAAACGCTCAGACAAAGTCTGAGTTTGCAGTTCAATTCCTTGCTGCTCCTGTTCATGTCTCTGTAACTCCATTTGAAGGGATTCTTTTTTGCATGTCAACCTCTCAATATCGTCCTTATATCCATCTCTTTCTGACTCAGTTAGTGGAGATGAAGAAGCTCCTTGTCCATGAAGATTCTGTAGGGAATGACTATGAATTGGCTTGCGTCTGTGGATGTTTTTCAGAAGTTGTGGCTGACTTCTAACAAAATCATCATTAGCAAATTCCCATTGCTCAGGGTCAACTTTCCTAAATCCCTGTTTAACAATGCAAAGATTATGATACAAACTGTACAAAGTAAATGTAAACTTTAAATTAGAATGTCAAGTTAAAAAAGAGTCCTTTCAGGCATCCAAGGTAATTCAGTCTTATGGTTCTTCATTATTGCATATAGCCTTTTTTTCCTAGGTGCTCATTTTGTCTGGGATTTTAGTTTAATGTTTCTATTCAGTGGACGTGGTTATTGGCAAGAACTTATTGCACAAGGTTCTCGCCATTACTAGATTTGGGGAGGGCCAGATGTACACAGTGGAAAGGTTGTTTCTGCGACTTAAACTCTTCACGTGCAGGTCACAATAAAACAATCTTTAACACTACGGCAAGGGCCACACTCAAATTAGAATGTAAAGTATGGATTCAAATCATATGAAAGTCAAGAAGACGAAAAAAAAAGGTTGGCTTACATATGTATTGAGTTGTCTAATAAAGCTGGAGAAGTTATTGTGCTTGAAATATCTGCGCAGCAAAACCCTAGCAAATTCTGGTGGATTCCACACAATGAAGCTTTTATTATTCTGACTCCAAGAAACAATGGAATCCGTGGAGGGATCGTCCACCATCTCGTATGTCTTTGTGAGGAAAGGAGGCAACGCATTGGAACTGCATTGAGCTTCATCCATTGTATGTGCAACCCTTTATCTCAATTCTCAATCCCCCCTAACCTAATTCAATTCCCTAGAGCAAACCATAACCAGCATAAAAATAAAAATTGACAGAAACAATTTTCCCGTTCCTTATATATGTTCAAGCTTAAAAATTTGTTGACAAACTCTTAGATTCTCATCTGTATTCCCTCCAGTGTCAATCAAGTTAAATCCTTTTTCAATCACCAAAAATTTCCCCCGAGCAATATAATTCTCAAGCTTCTTATATATCATCAATCTCCAAAGAAACTGTGCAATACAATCAAACTCTTAGTTCCATGTCCCATGGTGTGTATCCAAATTTCTTAACCAATACCATGAGATAGGCCAGAGCAATCAAATTCTCAGCTTCTTTTATATCGCCAATTTCCGGGCAATATTATCCAGAAAACAATTTTACAAGCTCTTTGTACATAATAAAAAGCCGATAAATTGGCACAAAACAGTAAAAGTCTTAAGCTTCTTATACAAGGTAAACACAAAATCACCAACNCACAAGGTTCTCGCCATTACTAGATTTGGGGAGGGCCAGATGTACACAGTGGAAAGGTTGTTTCTGCGACTTAAACTCTTCACGTACAGGTCACAATAAAACAATCTTTAACACTACGGCAAGGGCCACACTCAAATTAGAATGTAAAGTATGGATTCAAATCATATGAAAGTCAAGAAGACGAAAAAAAAAGGTTGGCTTACATATGTATTGAGTTGTCTAATAAAGCTGGAGAAGTTATTGTGCTTGAAATATCTGCGCAGCAAAACCCTAGCAAATTCTGGTGGATTCCACACAATGAAGCTTTTATTATTCTGACTCCAAGAAACAATGGAATCCGTGGAGGGATCGTCCACCATCTCGTATGTCTTTGTGAGGAAAGGAGGCAACGCATTGGAACTGCATTGAGCTTCATCCATTGTATGTGCAACCCTTTATCTCAATTCTCAATCCCCCCTAACCTAATTCAATTCCCTAGAGCAAACCATAACCAGCATAAAAATAAAAATTGACAGAAACAATTTTCCCGTTCCTTATATATGTTCAAGCTTAAAAATTTGTTGACAAACTCTTAGATTCTCATCTGTATTCCCTCCAGTGTCAATCAAGTTAAATCCTTTTTCAATCACCAAAAATTTCCCCCGAGCAATATAATTCTCAAGCTTCTTATATATCATCAATCTCCAAAGAAACTGTGCAATACAATCAAACTCTCAGTTCCATGTCCCATGGTGTGTATCCAAATTTCTTAATCAATACCATGAGATAGGCCAGAGCAATCAAATTCTCAGCTTCTTTTATATCGCCAATTTCCGGGCAATATTATCCAGAAAACAATTTTACAAGCTCTTTGTACATAATAAAAAGCCGATAAATTGGCACAAAACAGTAAAAGTCTTAAGCTTCTTATACAAGGTAAACACAAAATCACCAACCACCTAGGCAAACCAAAATCCAGTCCCAACTACTAACGTCAGTTGTTCAGAAAGCTCAACTCTTCAATACCCAATGTAAAAATTCAACCAAAATTCAACCTCAATTATCTAACCCACAATTTCCCACCACAAAACTGGCTGCTTCTGAACCCTATTCAACNCCCCAACTACTAACGTCAGTTGTTCAGAAAGCTCAACTCTTCAATACCCAATGTAAAAATTCAACCAAAATTCAACCTCCATTATCTAACCCACAATTTCCCACCACAAAACTGGCTGCTTCTGAACCCTATTCAACCCCTATTTTCTGCCAAATCACACAACCCCCAACCAATAACCCACCCAATTCAAAAACCCAAAAATCACTCCAAGTCCCACAATCCTCAAGCAAAACCCACCAAGCTCAAATTTTGGTAATCCTCCAGTATAATTCTACCCATATGTAAAAACAAAACAAAAAGGAAAAGAACAGTTCATTTTCTCTCAAAATTGCTAGCAAAACTAAAACATCAAATTCATTACAACAGCCATCTTTGTCCAAATCTTAAAGCAAAAGCATCAAAGAAAGAAAAGAAAAAAGTTATAAAAATACATACATGTATACATACACTATAGTTATATAATTGTATTTAAGGTGCTTGACGTTTTACCTGAGAGAAGGAAAAAAAAAAAAGAGTAGCAGAGAGAAGTCTCGAAGGGTCAACAGTTTGCTGGTTGGTTAGTAAGTTTGTTAATAGGGAAATTGAGATCTGTGAAAGTTCATCAATGGGGGTTTGAGAGGCTTATACGTTGGATTTACGAGGACTCCAAACAAGATTCTTTAAAAAAAAACACGAATGGAATAAATCTTTAATGTTGTTGATGATAGTTGTCGAATTTAATATTCTGAGTTGACCGCAACGATGTCGTTAGGACATTGGATTTACGTGCTGTTCATTTTGATATTTCATGGAATCTTCAATGCCTGATGGAAAAATCTTTCCTTCGGGTAAGTACAATAATGTTCAAAGCATTTTCGGTACCGTTGACGATCTCTGATATTGATATGCTTTGATTCAAAACATCACATATAACAATTCGGTTGAATTGCTGAAGACGTTTCTAGAATATTATTTTTAATCTTTTTTACTATTATATTTATAAAATTAATTTTGAGTTTATAGAAAAGAATGAACATAAATTCGATTAAGTGATAATAAAATTTTAAACATAAAATTAAACATTAAATTTTTTATTCGAGGGTTATATGACTCAACACGAATATGACATGAAAATAGATAAGTTGATTCAACATAACACAATTAGTTAAATTAGTTATATTATGATTGATTAATACTCGATACGAACACAAAATATGAATACGATCTGATCTGACACGATTGTCACCCCTACTTTAGAACATGTTTGGATGATTCATATAGAGGGGGATTGGATCAGTTCTAAGAAACCCCTTCGATGGATCTTTTCATGCGATTCAATCAAAAACTCAATTCAATCTCATGTTTGGTAGGTGACATATATGTAGGGTCTATATATCCATATCAAATCATATGACTCAATTTATTAAAATATCCATTATAATTAGGTGAATAGAAGAATAGTTTTTTAAGTAAATTTTTTTTTTTTTTGAAATCACCATAGATTTCATCAAACCCCTATATTTAACTTTTAATACACTTATTTGACCTATTAGAATGATTTTTCCGTATCCAAACTAATACCAATTCAATAAGATTCTAATCGATGAATCTTGAAATGAAAAATTCTTCACGGTAAACAAAGAAAATTAGACAATCGATCAAAATAAAATATGTTTTACTAGATTTATTTTTTCAGAGTTGCAACTATCCAGTACAAAGAATTCGGTTCTACAATATTACGTTATGGCATGAGCATTTTTGTCATTTTTTAAATGAACAAATAAAAAATAAAATATCTCAAACTCTTTGAAATTTATCCGATAACGGGTATATTTGACAAGCTAGCTTCGGCCACCAAGTCAATATAGTCCTGGATGTAGTTCAATGGGGTAAGGCATTTGATAACTACATGATCCCTTAAAACTCATTTATATTTTAAATAATCATTTATTATTCCTTTTCCTTTTTTTCAAGGGTTAATATCAGTTTTAGTTCTTAAATCATATATTTTTTTTATCAATTTAGTTTTTATTATATTAATTTTTTCAATTTAGTCCTTAAAGTTTTCAATTCATATCATTTTAATCCCTACATAAACAAATTATTAATTTTTTTGACAAAAGTAATCACGTGTCGTTTTTTAAGGTAACTAGTAATTACCCGTGCCTGAAGGCATAGCGTAACGAAAATATTTGTCCAAAAAAATCTAAACATGTCTATAAAATTTACAATTATATATATCACTACAATCATCACAACCATGTTTATGCAAACCACCAAAACAAAACCATCACAACCATCTATAATTAGTTAACTGTACAAAAGAATGAACACAAAAAATACACACATGCACAAATAGAGAAACACCTTCAACTTCATCTTCATATCCTTCCATGTATATCTGAAAATATTTGAAATATAACCAATTATCAAAATATGTGAGGCAAAATAAAATAATTGTAAATCCAAAAACATAAGACCTCTTACTTTTATTGTTAGTTGGATTCAACATAAAATTAAAAATTATAGCACTGTCCCAAATTTCGTCGCAAGTGCCACAAACACATTTTAGAGAAATAAGAAAGTATGTTTCCTAAAATATGAGATGAAAAATGCGAGTGATCTTGGTTAGTGAAAAATCATCTCACTCAGCAAAACTTTAGAACCACATATGACCCAATAAACCCACAATCTCTTTCCCAACTATCAAACAAAAACTAACTATTTTTTAGTGAATCATCAACAAAGTTGAGGCTTTAAGGGAAAAGAAATGAAATGAGAGGAAATATTGTCTTACTTGTGTAGTGGCGTCATGTGAAATTTTTAGCGGCATCTTTGCTGGTAATGAGTTCTTCGGCAACAATCGGTGATTTTCAATATGTAGTTCTGAGCTTACTGAAAAACTACTATCAATTTAGCATTCAAATAGAAAAAAATGAAACATAATTATTATTTTCAATTACTAATACTTTAGTTTTGATGTAATCTATAAACCCTCCATTCAAAACCCCCAAAAATATGGAAACTAACTCAACTGTCAAAATAAATTTAGTTAACAATTAAAAGAATTAAAAATTAATTATCTTTGTGAATCCCTCGATGGTGCTAGTATATATCTAATGAAGAAAATCATTATGCGTGATTAAACAACATAACCCCAATAAGCCCCTTATAGCCAACCTCTACCAACCCATGCCCCTACAATCGGTGTAAATTTTTTTGTCAATTTCCTCGGCTTGGTGCAATTATTCAATGAAAACTCATTGGACAAATTTAATGCAAAATACAGAATTAAAATGTCAAGCTTATTATACTGATAGCTTCCAACACTTTATAAAATAAACCAAAAAGCATTCCCATGACAATATATGTTACTTAGAATATAAAATCTAAAAGAGAGAAAATGTA